GGCCATTTTTCCGCCCCTGACACATGGTCCGCGGCCATTTTTCCGCCCCTGACACGTGGTCATAGGGAGGGGGACTCTCCCTCCAGGCAATAGCTGCCTCCCTGTCGTCCACGCCAGAACGGATTAATGGTAATTACATTGAACCTTATGGGGAAATTTGCTTCGGGTTGTGACCAATTCGGGGTATGACCAGAGTCACAGAACGAATTAAGTTCGTAAACCGAGGTTCCACTGTATTTGGCTTGAAAATATCTAGCCTTTCCTTTATGCTGGACTTGTAGTAGGGAAAATGTCTTTTAAAACTGGGTAAGTGCATCATGAAATTAGATTTCTTTCTTCTTACAATCATGTAAAATGTTTTTGTAAAGAGAAGTGTCATTTTGTTAACAGAGAAAAATCAATCTATTAAATTGTTTTCAGCAGAAAGCTTCTGAAGTCTCAAGTTTTATTAAGAATCAGGCCAAATAAAGAGGCAATAGTTAAATATAAAGCTTTTCCAATAATTGATTCCAAATTGTACAGCAAATTTCATGGTGGGTAGAAGGGGAGGAAGAATGTTACTAAAGCCTGAACCATTGTTACCTGCTCTTATCACCTGCCATGTATCAGCAGTCACTGCTCCTTGTTGGGCAGGAGTCAACCTTGTTTTCCATCAGTCGGCATAAATATTGATGCATATTTTGTGAATAACCACCCTACATTCAAAATAGTGTAGTCTCCCTGCCAGTCTAAATGGCAAACAGTGTTTCAGTTAGAATGTACACCTTCTCTCAAGTACAGGCTTTAGCATGTATGTTTGAGAGAGTCCCTCAGTTCCTGCCCTCCTAAATACAGAAAAAGTATTGCTCATTTAGAAAACAAAAGGAGATCTTTGGAGACACAGAGCAAAGAGTTTCGGTACCTGAGATGGAAAAACAAGGAGTGTACCATCTTCCCAACAGCTCTGATACAAGGCAGGAATTACCACAAGCCAGAGGAATGCCAGGGTCAAAGAGGCAGAGGACTTTGCTTCTGGATTCAGCTTATCTCTCTAAGGAATAGATAACTGCTGTAGTTAGACATTACATTATGTTTTAATTTCTTTTATTCATGTTAGAAATTGTATTTCTATTTTTCTGTAAATGTAGGATATTCTGTGTAGTTTTAGATAGAGTTTACTTATTTCTCAGGATCTGATACACAACTTAAAGGACATCTTTCTTTTGAGATAACTCGTTACAAATCAGCACCATCTTGTGGTCTGCTGAGAGCATTACAAGTTTTGTTGTAAATAGAACGTCCTCTCTTTTTGAGATATATTTTTCAAAATAAAGTTTGATTTTGTTTATCTTCTATGAGATTGATTTACCTCCCAAAGGATATGCCTTTTTTGCTACAAACCCAGGAGGCTGAAACATCTTTTCCCCTTTTATTTGCCAGAATTGCAATATAAGTTGTGGGAGGAGGCCAGGATTAGGGAGAACTCCAGGTGAGACATGCATGGGAAGATAGGTTCTGGCAATAGTAACTACCAAGCAGTTAAATGGCACACGGTGAGACCAGGATGTACAGACCCAGAAAGCTTAGTTGCGGGGCAGGGGGAGGTCTGAAATCTCCAGCTTTTCAACCTATGTATTAAATCTTGCTACTTCACATGCATGTTTATCTACATGAATCAATCTACAAAGAAATTTTAATTTAGCCCCAACTTAGTTTTATTGCCCTTCTCCAAAGAGTGTGCTTTTTCTTAGGCTGGGTATGTACAACATGCCATCCATGGTTAATGATTAGCCCAATTGCCTCAGTTCATAGAACAACTGTGGGGGGCCATGTGGTGTGGGAATATGCTAAACCAGTCAGTACTGGGGCAATTGAACATGGTCAGCCATGTTTTATGAATCCAGAATCTTAGTCAACAGAATGGGTGACCTATACGCAGTCTGTCCTCCAAGTCAATATACCAACAAGGTAAAGCAACTAAAAATGCAAAATGTTCAATTATAAAAATCACTGCTACAGTTTGGCATTCACTGGATATGCCTTGCAAACAGCAGGAGACTATACTGCTCAAGCCAAACACTGCTCTCTGTGGGAAGGGGCAAGGGGGTTGTGTTCCTTGTAGTCCATTATATAAACCAGTTATTTTAGGGGGGAAGTACTAAGTGGAAGACAGAGATCCAGTGTGTTTCACAGTCCACTTCCCAAATTCAGTTCCCTGTAAATGATGGGGTGTTTCTTTGGCATTCAGCGGAATGTGGTAGGTGATAACAGGGTGGTGAGAAGCAGAGGGGGATAGGACAGGAATCTGAGGGTGGACTGCCCGCAGAGAAGGCAGTGTTGATGGCTGAGACTGATCCCATCCTTTAGCCCCCAATATTCATCCTCAATGGCCCTGGTTTCCAGCTGTTGCTACTGTCAGGTTAGTATATAAGAAGGCTGCCCTCATCCATGATTTGATTGTGGTTGAGGCAGCTGACCTGGCCTAACTGACTGGGGGTGGGGTGGGGAGGTAACAGTTGTTATCGAGAAATTCTAATGGCTTTCAGAGGCTCTGCACCGTAGATAACTGGGTGTGAGACCCTGCAATTGAAGTTGGACTCTACGGAGCAGTTGGATTTGTTGTACTGATCTCCCTGCTGTGCAGTGACATCCCTGCCTGAGCTGTTCAACTCCATTGCTGTGTTAGCGATGGAGTATCCAAGACCAATAGTCCTTGAAAACTTTAACCTGCCCTCATGTGAAACAGTGTCTGGAGCAGCCCAGGAGTTCATAGCCACCATGGCAACCATGGACCTAGCCCAGGTCATTGAAATCTTGACACACATAGGTGGTCACATAGGTTCTGTTTTTTATCTGGGGGCAATTGTGACATGATCTGAAAGTACCATCAGTCCTGTCATGGCCAGATTACTCTGGTTGCTTTGGCTTGCTGGCACTGTTGCTTTTCTCAGGAAGGTTGTATCTATTAGACTGGCCCATTCCAGGTGATTAGTCACCTGGACCCTGATAGATTTCAGAGAGCTTAGAGTTTTTCCTGAGGAGCTGGTAGGCAGTTCAACTTAGGCCTTAGTCTCAGCCTGTTATGGGCATGAGGCAAGGGCCTTGCATCAGATTGCTCCTATGCAGCTTCTTCCTGCTCATTGATCCTGGGAGGCTCCTTGGTTTTCTGAGGAGCTTCAAGAGATGACATGACAAAAGAAACATCTAGAGCACTGTTGGAGAAAGCCAAAGAATGAATTTGACCAAGAATATGTTAAGAGCCTATATGACAGATTACTGTACACTGTGGTGATAGGAGCAGCAAAATGTCTATTTTTCTACTCTTATGTCCACATAGTCAGCAGCCATTCCTTGCTAAGCCACAAGAACATCTATGGGGATGCCATGAAGAATATTCTGACAGATAAAATGACTCAGATCTATTTAGAGTTGGACTCTGACAGGGCAGGTGCAGTTGAGACTGAAGCACGGACTTGTTCAGTTATCTGGGAAGAGTTTGATCTGGTAACTCCTAAAGAAGTGAACAGGATCTTTGTGGCAGTTAACCCAGCCACATATTGGTTATATCCATGTCCCTCCAGGTTAAGCCTCTCAGGATATGACATGATTGGGTCCATGCAGTGATGACTCTTTCTCTGAGGAGAGATATGATTCTGCCTGTCTTGAAGGAGGAAGCTGTGTGCCCCCTCCACAAGAGACCATGGCCATGACACAACAGTTCTCTACAATTTTCATTTGGACTCCAGCCTCCCCCTTCTAGAGATGGTTGTTGAGAAGTCTTTGGGCTGCAGTTTCAGGGGACCTTGGAGGAAAATGATTGGAACCTTTTCAGTTGGGTTTCAGGTTCAGAGACCCATCTGTTGATGATCTCTAGCAGAGCTGGGGCGGGGATGGTGCAACCATCCTGACTTTCTTTGATCAGTAGCCTTCAATATTATCAATCATGGTATCCTTGTGGACCAACTGTAAGGATTGGGATTGGAGGCATGGTATTGTGATGGTTCTCCACATTTCTCCATACCAGTTCCAGTTGGTGGGCTGGGAGAGGTAAAATCCAAAGCTCCTGACCTGTAGGGTGCCACAGGGCTCAGTATTCTCACCCCTATTTAACATCTACATGAGGCCACTAGATGAGGTCATCTGCTGGCACAGGGTCAGGTATTATCAGTATACTGATGACACTAAGCTATATATCTTGACCCCTAGCTGACCAAGTGATGCTGTCAAGGTCTTGTCCCAGTCCCTGGAGTCTGTGAGGATATGGATGAAAAGGAACAAACTTAAGCCCAACCCCAGTAAGACCAAATGGCTGTGAGTGCATATACTTTCTGGAACCAGGGACTTTCCATGTCTAATTCTAAATGGGGTTGCATCCTCCAGAATTTGGGGGTCTTCCCAGACCCTCAGCTCCTGCTCAAAGATTAGATGGTAGCTGTAGCCAGAAAGGCCTTCACACAAATTCATCTTCAGCACCAACTGCATCCAGGAGACCCTTCTCAGAGTCATTCATACTTTAGTTATCTCATGCGTGGACTACTGCAATGTTCTTTACATAGGGCTGCCCTTGAAGACCACTTGGAAGGTTCATTTGGTCCAGAGTGTAGCGGCAACAGCAGTTATGGGCATGCCATAATACAACCATGTGACACCTTTGCTTCATGAAGTGCACTAGTTACTAGGCGGCTTTGGAGTGCAATTCAAGATGTTGGTTACCGCTTACAAAGCACTAAATGATATCTCTCTTTCTCTCTCCCCCCTTCCTTCCTTCCTTCCCTTTCTCTCTTCCCCTTCCCTCCGTTATCTGATGTACAAATTAAAAACTAAAGAAATAGTGCATCACCCAGAGTCATTGAGGTTGGGCAACTTCAGAAATGCAAATAAATATTATTGTGTGCTGCCAAATCTTATGGGTAAAATTACTGTTTGACCAGTGAACCAGGTCACTGAGTCACACTAACCAATCCCATATTGCCCTAGAATGAAGGACTCTTAAAATATAAAAGAATGGATTTTCAAGAAATTATAATACCTGTTAAATACTGAGATGGATTTGCCAATTTTAACTTTTCTACACTTCAAATAGAGGTTCCTAACATGATAAACCATAGAAGCTTTCCAAATGTCAAGGGCAGATGTTAAAAATCAAGAAGTTTCTGTTGTCAGAACTATCCATGAACTCTGTTCAACAGACAAAGATTTAAATTGTTCCAGTAACAATTTAAGTTGCTTGTAAACTTATCCAGTAAACTACTGAATATATTTTAGAAGTCAATTCCTCTTCTAACTGCACTCTCTTTCTTAAGAGGTGTCCAAATCATCAGTTTCTTTACAGCATTTAAATTCACACTAATTTTTGCTTTTTTTTAAAGCATGGTATTCTTCAAAGCACTGCTACACCTCCTTCACAGCGGCTGGTGATCATGTTAGCAGTTTCAGTCCAAGTATCCATATGTGGGTTGTACACTTCCACAGAATCTGAAGTTACAGGGGCAGCTGCATCATAGCTGGCAGTCCTGCCTCCGGTGGCATAAAGGAAGCCATTCACAGCTATGACACATACTCCAGCTCTTGGGACCTTCATTGAAGCAACTTCCACCCATTTCTCCTGATAATTAAGCAACAAAAAGAATTATCTTTGCAGTATACTACATTTGCCTTCCAGAGCAAATCTACAGTGAGCAGACATAAGAACAACTATATTGATCCTTCATGCACTGGCAGGGTAAAGTACTGCTATATATTAGTAATCAAGGACAAAGATAGTAATTATTCAAATTCATGAATCCAGAAAAAACACCAAGATGGAACAGAAAATATCAGCATTTGTATAATGAATTGGATCTAACAGCAGAACTCTTGATGATTCCATAGGCAGAAGAAGGGAATTTTCTCAGATTTTGCCTATTCCCCTTGAAAACCTGCTTTATCTGGTTGGCGGTTCCTTCTGTCAGAATGCAATGAGACACTTGGAGCTGCAGGAGAAAACTAGAGAAGATTACTAACCTGCCCCCTTCTTTCAGAGGACAGGCCCCAGCAGAGCTTTTAATTGTGCAGGGTCAACTCTATTGCCAAATCAGTATTTATACCTTAAAGCTATGTATACTTTACTATATAGATAATATCAGGGCAGACTTGCAAGGAAGTCCATAGAAATTACTATTCTAATTGCCCATGTATATCCATGTTTTTTATTTGCAGCAAACTGACTCTAATCAGTTGGTTATCTTTGAACTTTGTTCAGTTTAGTTTTATATTTGATCCAGAAAGACATTGCTTCAGTTATATATGCTTACACATGGACTTAGAAGCATAAACTGCTTGTGCCATTCTAGGGAATAAACAAATACAATACTGATAGTACATTCAAAGAGAAGTACAGATAACTGGGAAAAATTCTAAAAGGCAGCATAAATAAAAAGGTGATGTGAAAAATAAATACTACCTCTTCAAATGAGTATTTCTCAACAGTTGAAAGAGCGCCTTGAGTTTCATTCCACCCTCCAACAGCATAGATGCAGTCATTCAGAGCAGCCACTCCTAAATATGCCCTTCTGGTGCCCATTTCAGGAAGTGCAGACCAGCGTTTAGATATTGGGTCATAGACTTCCACGGAACATAGTTCTATTTCTTCATTGCCAATGCCTCCAACAACATAAATTAAACCTAGGAACATAACAATTTTCTATTAGAGCACTGCCATTCGAATACAGCTGGTGACAAAGAGGCTCATGGAATCATGCAAAATTGACTGCAATCCCATCTATAGAGTATCAATAGCTTTCATTAGTAGAACTGCTCTTGAATAAATTACAGATTGTAATTGATTTATGTCTGCAGAATAATGGTTATTTTAAACCATTTTATACTGTTAATAGAAGCGTGTATGGATATTATCCTTCAAAACAGGACAGAATATCTTATGAGGATATCAAATTTTCTGGTCACATATTAACCAAACAATCTTATGCATGTCTACTCAAAATTAAACCCAACCGAGTCAACTGCAACTATTTCCAACAAGTATATGTAGGATTTCAGCTTCAGTATAATATATTAAGAGGAGTCTGGTAGCACATTTTCAGACTAACACGTTTTATTAAAAGGCATAAGCTTTCATGAGCTACAGCTGATGCTTTTTAATAAAACTTGTTAGTCTGTAAAGGTGCTACCGGATTCTGCCTGATTTTTGGCTATAGACTAACATAGTTCTCCTCCTACAATGTCTAATATATTGAATCTGTACATTTCAGTGCTTATCCCACTAAATGCACTTGCAGCTATTACGATTGCTATGTTGAATGTACTAATTAACCATAATGAATGTAGGCTGACTGCTGCCTATGGCATAATTAGAAATAAGCAAAATGGTCCCAAAATTCAAAATCACTCACCCCGTATTTCACAACACCCAAAATTGTAACGTGGCACAGCCATGCTGCCCACGACTTCCCAAGTATTCTCTTCAGGATCAAAACGTTCAACAGAGGTGCCAATCTCTGCTCCAACCCAACCTCCTGAAAATCAAAGCAAGCATGCAAGTAAAGAATACAGCATAGTAAACAGATTGTCATATCCTTGAAACAATCATATATATAATCGATTTAAAAGTAATGTAGTCTATAGCCACAATATCTAAACTTTCCTCACAACACTTTTTACAAATGTACTTATTTATTTTAGTGGCAAGGGTTTCAGCATTATATTGCTTCATTTTTAAAACATAAAATATAATAGGTGGCATACAGCAATAATTAAAATTTAAATGTCCTGGATGTTATCTTACAAAAGATACAATGTGATGAGCCAGCTGGTGAAGTTGTTTCAGCTAGCACCTTAGCACTTATCCCTGCCTTTGGAATCTCTGAGGAAAACATTTGTGTTTGGCTGTCAGGATATTTATTATGGCATTGCCAGAAGTCTCACATGATTTGAGGAAGACTTTCTTATTTTGTACTCAAAAGCTGCCAACATACAGTATGTGCTCTGATATTATGTCTCTTATTGCTGGTACATGACCCAAATAAAATATTGCTCCTAACTTAGACAGTTATGGATTCAGCAGACAAAAGACTTGCCCAAAGCATAGATAGTCCCATAAGAGGTGCAGACTCCTAGTCCACAACGAGGATGGTTCATGGAAGCTACAGCTGCCCATTGCTTTGTAATAGGATCATAGCGTTCAGTACAGTCAAAAATCATAGAGTCTTTTTCACCTTGGGAAAGAGGCAAGAACATAAAGAAAATATATGTTATACAACAGCTCTTGAAGACAATTACTCAACCATGGCAGAATAGTGGCTCAATTCATCAAGCTTAATCACTATTAATGCAGGTTAAAAGTTACAAGTTGCTAGATCGCCACACCATGTTGTACAAGTGGCATAAATCTTTACTAAAGATGACAAGGAGGGGTATAATTGTAAGCTATGATCAGTGTGGGGAGAATTTTATCCCTCAACTATAGCTTTCCTTAATAAATATGTATTATAATATTAATAATTATTGTATCTGAATAATGTTTAAAAGAAATGGAACGGACTGAAGAGTTAAATTTGGAAGAAGAAAAATACATGGTAACAACAATCATAGCAGGAAGAAAGCCATGGTTGTGCAGAATTCAAATAATCTCTGTAACAGAAAATTGCTACAGCAACAGTCCATATGCATAAGGCAAATTTGCCCACTTTGCATAATCACAACACTAATATGTCCTAAAAATGGTATGCATAGTACCTAGTGATAAAAAAGCTGCCGGCCTGTTTTATGATTTACTGTATATATAGTAAATTCTGGACTTTATTGTAAAACTTCTATATACTTTGGAATGGTATATGTCAATCTTAAAGATAAGTTCTTACCTTTAAGTAATAAAGTAAATTATTGTAATGGTATGTGGGAATGACCTTGGGAGACAGCAGGGAGAGCTGCAGACTGGACAACTGGCATGTATATCTTAGCCCACAGAAGGGGGGATGGCATGGGAAACATTTCAGAAGGGACCTTCCCTAGTTTTCCGGGGAGTAAAAGGAAAGAAGGGGAGAAATACTTTCAGACTTGCAAGATTCTATTAATGCAACTTTATAATGAAGACAGAGCTAGTACTCCTGGTTGTGCTTCTTGTCTGGACTACCTCACAGAGCTAGCAGTTATCTAACAAGCAATAAAGAATAGTCTATATTTTTCCCAATATTTTTTAATTACCTCCAATAGCATAGACCATTCCTCCAACTACGGTAACACCCAGACCGCTGCGAGCCTGGTGTAAGGAAGATACAGTAGTCCAGTACTGACTGAAAGTATCAAAACGCTCCACGCAGCTGAGAGCTCTGCTATCACTCCAACGACCTCCCTGCAAGCGAGTATAACCACCTACACAAGACAGGATAAACAATCAGCTGTTCCATAGGTGTTTCTTGACTAGTTAGGGTTTCTAAAGATTTAAAAGCTAAGAAGGATTCCCACCTACTGCATAAAGGTACTTCCTAGCTTTTCTCCGTGGACGTGTCTTAGCTGCCTGGAGAAAACTGCTCATCTTGTTTTCTTTGGGAGACTGACAAACTTCACAGTATTCTTTCAACAGAGTATGAAGGGCTACTCGAAGACTGAAATCTGGAACCGCTGAGAAAGAAAGAAAACACTCAGTAGTAGCTAATTTGTAGCTAAACTAGACTGCATGTGTGCAGTTTTACATTTTTAAATTAAAAAACTCCCAGTCTGAGTAGATATCTGTAATGGTATGTGGAAACGACCTCGAGAGACAGGAGGAAGAGCCACAGACAACAGTCAGACAAGCAGCAACTGAGTTGGCAGAAGGAATGGGGGCATGGCAAACGTCACAGAAGGGATTCTCCTTAGTTTCTTGGACTGTAAGGGAGAGGGGGGAGAGATGCACTTTCAGACTTGCAAGACTCTGTTAATGTAACCCTACAATAAAGTTAGAGCTAGTATTTCTGGGTGTGCTTCTTGTCTGGATTATCTCACGAGGCTGACAATAGCAGAATAAGGCAAAATGTGTTTTGATGTAGTTTTTTTTAGTCACTGGCAGTGTTAGTTTCTTAATACTTTTTGGTACTTACATATTATCTATACATATACTGCAGACTGACCCCCTTTGAAAACCTGAGTAATTCCTCAGGGGGTGGGGTGGGGGAAGCACTGATCCATACATAGCTAGACAAGATCTAAACAAAGAAAAGTGACTAGGGGATTATGCCACTATTAGTCTGTTCCTGTGCTCTCCCCTGTTAGGGAGAAAGAACAAGATGTGTCCCTTTTTGATCCTCTTATCACCCTAAAAAGTAGAGAGATGGGTAATCCACAATGGATGCTTTGAGGCAGGGAAACTGGCATTGAGAAATCTAGCTATTAGTCTAGTCAAGTCTGTTAAATTTGGATGCCTGATTAAATTCATGATCTCATATCACACACTGTTCTCCCACCACATCTTCAGCAGGACAGCAGTCCCCTCTCACAAAATTAAGCTAGATTACAAAATAGAAGCTATAAACTTAACCAGAATCTGGATCTTCACTTTTTAGTACATGCCACATTTTCTTGCCTATCAATAGTCACATAAGAGGAAATAAGACACTGATGACCAATCCATCCTCTTCTGCCCTACTTCACCCTGACTTACCATGATGTCTTATTTTCCTTCAGATCTAAAAACATCCAAGATCTTCCTGTAAAAAAGAAGTCCCGCTATGTTCTGTATCATGTCACAGGTTATTTGCTGTGATATTCAATTTGTGAGTATTAAACACAATTGGAAACCTTCAAATAAGTGTATGGTGCATAAGAACTAATTATTCTGGTTGCTGTTTTTATTTATTGTGTATTTTAATGAATCTGTTTTATTATTTTTCCCCCTTAATTTGTAGTAATACTGGTGTATTATAAGGTAGGAAAACCTGGTTTTGAGGGACAGCATACAAAACTTAATACATTATCTGGGGTTCCAATATCACAGAAATTTCATGTAATAGCACAGGGTACTATTACATGAAATTAGAGTACCCTTGTTTATAGCTAATAAGCCTTCATAAAACCAGTTTTTAGTTCTTATATTGGGTAACTGAAGTTATATGAAAGTGTAAGTACAAATTATCCTATCATTATTCTACAATCAGCTTATTATTAGATTTATATCCTGTATGTCCTGCCCTTATTTTGTGCAACTCAAGTCAGCATATTTTCCCCACAACAACAACCCTGTGAGGTGATTTGGGCTGAGAGAGAGTGACTGGCCCAGAGATATCCCAGCCAGCTTTGGTGCCTAAAGGAGGACTAGAACTGACAATCTCCTGTTTTCTAATCCAGAACCTTAACCACTACACCAAACTGGCTCTCAAGAAGTTACCTTCTATGTACTTCAAAAGTCTTTGTGGAGGTAATAAAGGAAATCTCACTGCATCCAATATCTCCACAACATATTTCTTTCTTTTCCCTGGGTCTTTCAAAATCCATTGCATTGCAGCCATGAAAACCTGGTACTCATCTTCTATGCTTAGGTCTTCACTTCGCAATATCTTAATAAGCTGGTCTTTTGTCAATGCCAAGAATTCATCTCCATTCTGAATCTCCAGGAAGTGGGCATGGATGTAATTCTCTGAGAATTCTAGCAGGTCATGACAGGCAATTTGCTCAGCAAACTGAAAGAGTCCAATGCAGTTCATAGGATCAATCTGTCCCTTTAGAAATTCACAGCAAAGGTCCACCACCTCTGATAGCTGAAACATGTCTGCTGCCACAATCAACTCCTGGACGTTATTCTCATCAATGCTGGCTATACCTGAAAAACGGAGAATAATTTTCAGCTGGTATGAAATCTTACCAACACTGTAAGTATATGGCTTGTCTGCAATAACTGTAACCATCCTTTGAAAGATATTGATATACATTGCTAATATGATAGATGGGATTCCACAGCAATTAAAATAATGAAGACATAGTAAACAGACTTTTATGTGTCTACATCATTGATGTAATGGCACAGAACAAAGATTTCTACCAGAAAAGCTGTAGATGAGATATTAAATCTGTTTCAAAACATCTTCTTCAGACTATACATAGGAATTTGAAAGACTTAATGTAATGCTTTTCCTTATCTTTCCTAGAACTATTTCAGAGAGGAAGCTTTATCCTTGAAATACTGATTTTAATGTACAAATAATTGGCTTTATATGGCAGTCTCTCACTTGAATTTAAATGGTGCATACCAGTCCAGATTGACCTCATTTACGTATTTATGAAAGTAAGTGTGCTGTACAGGAGGAGGAATTCTGTACTCAGCAACTACAGTAGGCTCTTTTCCCTTATGTTGAGGAAAAGGACAAAACAGACTTGTAACTCACGCTTAAACAGATTTGCTTTGCCAAACTGCCACTTAATTTAGTGGGGTTTATTTTCAGATGTTGTGTTTATATAAAGACAGTAGTAACACACAAGCTACAGTACGTGAATAAAACATAGATGTCTGCTCAATGTGATGCTATGTAACTTGTTCTCTTTTTAAACTAATCTGAGATAGTTTGGATGTTTGCAAAATAGTATGTTTATCTCAGCAAGTACTAACTGAATCAAAATATTCGATTTGCAGGGTACTAGGTAAACCAAGACATTACCCAAAGCACGATAAGGAAGAAATTAGAAATTCTTCTACCTGTATAAATAAACTCCAGGAGGATCTGGAAAATATTAGCATCCACACCCAGGATCTGCACAACATCCTTTGACGACTCTTTCATCCCTCCAGCAAACAAAGCAGCAAAATAAGAGCTGCTTGCAGCCAAAACAAGCCGGTGGACTTTATATGCTCCTTCGCCAACCTGGAGCTGTACATCACAGAAATGTTGCCCACATCTCATCTTGTTGATCTGGGCTAATAAAAGACGAGCATGCCTGTCTGCCAAGAAGGGGAACTCGCTTGTGCTGGGACAAGACACACAAGCCATGACGGCCTGACAAGATCACAGAGAAACTGACTGACTGATGTTCATCATCTCCCAGTGCTGCCCTAGGAGAAACAAGAACACATGAAAATGATAGACCTAATTATGGAGTTACTGTTGAGCATGAGTAAGATTAATCACCACAACTCAATTCCTCCCCCTTTAATTAAACTAAGAACACTCTGAAAGATCTTCAACACAAATTTGAGTTTGGGAGCAATTCCCACTCTCATTTCATAAATTATAAAGTGATCTACTATATAAAACCAGTGAATCAGATGGCATATATATTTGTGTAATAAATAAAAAAGTGGTTATGATTAAATGGTGGCAAATTATATTTATTTTGTTTTTTTCTATCTACTGTCCAGCTCTCAGTTTACTGCCTTATCTGTCCCCACTCCTTAGTTACCTCATCAAATCATGCATTATCTGTTACCAGCACACTTGGCCCCGTTTTTTACTCATTCTGTGGCATATTTCTTCAAGTAAATCAATAGTACAGCAGAGAAGCAATACAGCAGGCTAGTCCTGAATACTATACAGAAAACACGGATTGACATACTTTCAGGAATGCTACTTAGCATCTTTTAAGAAGGTTTTGCTTCACATTATATGTTGTATTATAGATCATTTCAAAAGTTTCTCCCTGGATTTGTTCCACTTTCAAAGTATTTCTCTCTTTAATCATCGCTGGGGTTCAGCTCCCCCTCCCAGGCACGGCCACCGGAGGCCCCGGGTATGCCTCCAGCCCACCCCACATTTGAGAGCCTGCTCACGGGTTGATGGTGCTGTGGTACTCACTTCTGAGGCGGCCGAATGGTGCTTACATTTCATTTTATTTCCCTGCCTTTAAAAACAACCAAAAGAGATACTACGGTGAGAGCCTCGGTTCCCGCAGCAGCGGCGCCGAAAACGAATGGAGGGCAAAAAAAAAAAAAAAAATCCCCACCGGCAAATTGCAAAACCGCCGCCTCCGAAAATTTGCACCCGCCGCTGGAGGCGCGCCTGCAGACAGAGGGCGGAAAAGGCGGCCGAAGGAAAGGCGGAGCCGGCCGGCCGAGTTCCGTGGGGAAGAGCGCGCACGTGACGGGACACGGGATGAAATACCGAGACAGCTTTGCGGTCGTCCGCCGCCCAGCGGCAGGCGGTGGAGGTGCTGTAAGGTCGTTTTCTCCAAGAGAGAGGGAACGGCAGGGTTGTGCTGCAAGGGAGCGGGCATCGAGTTTGTGGGGGGCGGGGGAGAGACTAGTGGCTTTAATGGCACGTTGCTGAGAAGTTAAAGCGAAGCCATTTCTTTAAAACTCTTGTTTTCTTGAAAGTCTGTGTTTGCAGGATTCGCTGAGCCATAAGCTAGCCGGCGTTTATCTACCTCAGGTACTCTAAGATGTGTGGACTTCAACTCCCAGAATTCCCCAGCCAGCTTGCTAGCTATGGAATTCTGGGAGTTGAAGTCCACACATCTTAGAGTACCTGAGGTAGATAAACGCCGGCTAGCTTATGGCTCAGCGAATCCTGCAAACACAGACTTTCAAGAAAACAAGAGTTTTAAAGAAATGGCTTCGCTTTAACTTCTCAGCAACGTGCCATTAAAG